ATATATATATATGTTTATATATATATATATTGGGTGAGGTGATATGGTACAAATGTTTTAAGTGAGGTGACAAACACAAGACAGAACACGAAACAATGGGTATAACATGGATATGAGAACATAAGAACGGAAGTAACTGCAGAATACTTCCTCTTGCTGCTTCTATGTTGGTTCGTGGTCTTGAAGTGGGTAGAATATAGTTGTGCATTAATTGGCTGTTGATTGCTGGTGTTAACTTTTTGATGTGTACTGCCTCGCTGATGTCGAGTGTCCTGCTATTGCTGTATTTATCGATTTCTGTATTACTTAAGATTTTTCTGGTGATGGTCTGGTTGTGAGAAAAGATTATATGTTCCTTGATGGAGACCTGTTGTTTGGGCATTGTTAATCGCCTAGAGACGTTGTTGTCTTCCCTATATACTTAGTTCTATGAGGCTTACAGTCCCCAAGTGGGCATGTGAAGGCATAGACGACGTTAGTTTCCTTCAAGGCGTTCTTTTTGGTGTCTGGGGAGTTTTTCATGAATAGATTGGCCGTTTTTTTGTTTTTGTAGTAAATTGTCAATTATATTTTCTGATTTTTGTTTGTAGGAATAACGTTCCTATCAATGATATCTTTCAAGACCCTTTCCTCTGTTTTATGAGCCATCAAAAAGAAATTCTTGTAAAACAGTCTAATAGGGGATACAAGTGTTGTGCTAGTTGACTCTTCAGAGGTTGCATGGCATTTCACCTTTCTTTTTATGATGTCTTCAACAAAACCGTCAGAAAAGCCATTGTTGACTAAGACCTGCCTTACCCTACAGAGTTCTTCATCGACTTGCTTCTATCCTGAGCTGTGACTGAGAGCCCGGTCGACGTAAGCATTGACAACACTCCTCTTGTACCTGTCTGGGCAGTCACTATTGGCATCGAGGCACATTCCTATATTTGTTTCCTTAGTGTAGACTGCAGTGAGGAAGCCTCCATTCATTTACATGACTGTTACATCTAGCTTCCCATCATTCTCCATCTTGTAAGTGAAACTTAACACAGAATTCTGCTTGAATGCCTCCTTCAGCTGCTGCAGACGTCTGACATCAGGTACCTGCATAAAAATGTCAACATACCTGCAGTATATGGCGGGTTTCATGTCCATGTCAACTAAGACCCTCTGCTCGATGGTACCAATGTAGAAGTTCGCAAACAGGACACCTAGGGGAGAACCCATGGCGACCCCATCTACTTATACATGTGCCCATCTGGACTCGAGAAGGGTGCCTGTTTGGTGCAGGCTTGAAGTAGCTTTCTTAGTATATTTTCTGGTATGTCAAGAGGAGTACAAGCCGGATCACGATACACTCTGTCCACTATCATCCCGATTGTTTCATTCACTGGTACGTTGGTAAACAGTGACTACATCCAACGAGGCTCTTATCCCCGTGGCCCGTGCTCCCTGCAGCAAGTCAACAAATTCCTTTGGAGACTTCAGGCTGAAAGCACAAGGTACATAAGAAGTCAGCAAGCAGTTGAGTTGCTTAGCCAGTCTGTATGTGGGTGTGGGTATCTGGCTGATGATTGGCCGAAGTGGGTTTCCAGGCTTTTGGGTCTTGACATTCCCATATACATAACCAGGTTTGTATTCCCAATAACCTTTGGCAGGTGGAGTCTGGATTTCTTGGCGTTCACAGTTTCGATTAATCTGTTTAGTCATTTCTCCCGAGTCATTTGGTTTTGGAGTCATTTAGTTTTAAAACCCTTAAAGAATATCGTGTCATGGGAGATTATTACAAAAGCTTCGACTCTATCTAATGTTTCACCTATTGGTGTACTCCACAGATGTGACGTGTCCACCAGGAATGGTGTGGTCCGAATGTGTACCTCCCTGTGGCCCACCTCACTGTGACCATCTTCTCAACCATTCTACTCTGCAAGTCCCCGCACCTCTCTCCGTTCTTTCATTATTTAGAATGTCATCGCCAGTTTCTCGGCCTTCAAGTCTGTGCCATGGACCGTGCGTACCTGGGTGCACGTGTCCTCCTGGGTATGCCTTTGAGAGCGCTACGTGTGTGAAGCAGGAAGATTGTCCCTAGAGAAAACAATCTGGATATGGAATTCATATTATCATGTTATAGAAGGTGCCCATGCAGAGGGCTGTAACTCGGCTGATTTAAGATACAAGAGAGAGATTGAATATTAAACAATTTGGTTTATTCCATGGAGCACAATTACTGAACAGTATATGTAGTGAAGAATCCCTGACTTACAAGTGACTGGGGAAAAAAAACCTTCTTATTATAATAATTAAATATAATTTGTTTATGAGGGTTCTCAATTACACCCTGGTTAATAACAGTTTCATATGTTAGCTTGATTGATCTTCACAAGTGTGTGTGCAATTAGTCACAATAAAGGTGGCTTATGAATAAAATGATGATCAAACCACACACTAGAAGATGAAGAGACGATGACGTTTCGGTTTGTCCTGGACCATTATCAAGTTGATTGTGATAATGGTCGACTTGATCACATATCATAACCAAAATACCGTAAGACAATCATAACACATAAGATCAGTCAAGGACGGACCGAAACATTGTTGTCTCTTTCATCTTCTGGTGTGTAGTTTGGCCATCATATCTTCAGCCATGCTGAATTATGAATACAATTTAAGTCTAGGAAGGAAATATATACTGACTGGTATGTTAATAATAAAAACAGTATGGGTACACGGCGGTGCCCAGGATAGTCTGCCTCTCCTCTCACCCCCCTCCCTTTTCTACTATCCCTCCCTCTCCCTTTCCAGCCCGCTGTCGTCGTGAAAGGGCTTGGTGGGCGGCTGCCGGGGTGTGATGCTCCATGGGTCAGTCCTCTGTCCTTTTGAAGCCTTATGCTCCTGCTGCTGTCTTCACAAATTGTGCTGGATGCCTTTTCCACTTCCTTAGGTTCAATTTTTCCTCCCCACTCTTCTATTTCCGATTGTCATTTCCCACCGACTTTTTGCCATTCTTGATTATTCTTTCAGATGTCTTCTTCTGTCTTGATGCTGGGCGTTTGGGGAGGTACACTCTCTCTCGCCCATAAAATTGTGGTACCCAACGTACCTTTTTCCCTCCCCCCCCCCCCCCTCCAAATCTACTCGGCGCCATCACTTCCACAATCGCATGCGCACGATTCCTTCCAGTTATACCAAGC